CCCCTCTCTCTCCATCCATGACACGACAACATCTGCATTGCCTAAGGGAGCAAAAGTGAACAATGCAGAGTTCCCAGAAAATTCCCATACGCATAAAGATTTACTAAACACAAGAATCAGCATCATCCTCCCTAAAGTGCAACACACCATAAGGAGGAGGGTGGGGGGATGAAATAAATCCGTACTAATTTTGCAGAGAGTTGACAAAAAGGCTCGGCGCTCCTCAGCGGAATGAGCCATTATCAAAAATGTATTCATGTTTTCACCCGGGCATCCGCTGAGCATTCACAGCTCATTCACTATTCATCCACAACATCATCGCTACAACAACCCTGAAACCTGAATGCTGATGAACGTGTATGTGTGAGACAGAAAAATTGTGTAGTTAAATGTTCTTTGCTATTCCGGCGCAGGTTAGAGGAAGAGTGGGGAAGAAAAGAGAAGATAAGGTATGGAAATAGGGAAGAGGTGAAGGAAATAAATAAAAGGAGAGGAAGCAAGATGAAGGAATGAAGTGATAAAACATGTAAAAAAGGGGGGGGAAGCGAGTGAACGGATGATTAGAAAAGCAAAAAAAAAAAAGAAGAAGAGGATGCCTGAGTGACGCATGCATGAGTAAAGATGCTAAGACGGATAAACCCATGTCAAAGGAATGGAAAGACGACAGGTAAATGAGCGAAAAGAGGATTAAATAGGAAAAGAGGGGCAAGACTAATAGAAGATTAGGAGCAGCGTGTGATTACAGCAGGTGAAGACGCGATAAAGACAGATGACAGCCACTTTATGGGCACGAAAGATGGGAAACAAGATGGGAGGATAAAAAAAAATTGGAATAAATAAGAAAAATTTAGAGGAAATTGAGGACAAAAATAAAGACGGGACGTGAATTAAAGAAAATTAACAGAAGAATCAAAGCAAAAGCTAAGCATGAAAACATGAGTCAAAGATTTAAGCGAGGACTGGAGGAGAAGAAAACAGGATTATAGACTGAAAGATAACTGAAGAGGGAGGACTAAGATCAAAGAAACGATGGTGGAAAAAAAAAGAGGGAAGGGAAGAAATGGTACAATATGAAGTAAGAGAGAAGAGAGCAAAAGATGAAGTTAAGCCACATCATGCAAGAGGACAGCAGAGGAGATAAGAAGAAGAAGGAGGGGACAACAGAGGATTAAAGAACTGAAGATAAAAGGAGAGAGAAAGAGACGAGATAAAAGTAGAGGACATATAAAGAGAGAAAAGACTTGAGTCAGGCAGAGAAGAAGCAGCAGGGAAAGGGAAAGGAGACAAAAGGGACAGAGATGAAATGGAAGGAATGAAGGATGAAGGAGGAGTGGAGCACCCTCTTCCTCCCAGTGAGGAATATTTGGATGCATATGAAGCTGTGCTGCAACAGAGCTGCTGCCCTCAAGTATTCAAGCTATTAACATTTATGAATATTGATGCGGGCGGGATGACGGGCTCCTACGCAGGCACTTTTTAAATGTGTGTGTTTAGCTGAATAAGTCTGCATTTTCAGCAAGCGTGCATGCGTGTGTGTGTGCGTGCACATGGTCGACATCCAAGCAAGACTCCAAACAATCTCTGCGTGAACATTAAGGCTTATAAATGTTGAGCAGCAGCACATGTTCGTGTCACTGGGAACTTCTCGCTGTGCCCGAGCACATCTGCAGCGTGTGAGCTTTCCGTTCAGCATGCGATCGCTCACGTGTTTGTCTGTGCAGCAGCCGTGCGTGTTCGTGCTTGATTAACTCTTTGTGAATGCGTGTGGCGGTGCGTATTAGCGTGCTTCAATCACCTCTTTGAGGAGGAAGGAGGAGGCGGCAAAGGCAAAGGACCAGCCGTAGTGATAGTGGAAGAACTGCTCAGGCTC